CATCTGACTGAAACAGACAATTATACATTGTGGCAATTATTCAAAGAAAAGTTTCCAAGGTAACCCTGGAGCTGGTTCCTGAAGGATGGGAAGAATTTCAATAAATGGGGGAGGTGGGAAGGGAATTTTAACTGAATAGAATGCTATGGCCAAAGGTGTCAAGGCAGCAAAGTTCAAAATATGTTTGGGGATCTGCAGGTAGGCTAGTTGGAGTAGAATGGAGAGTTCAGAAGCGTCAGTAGTAGGGAAATGGAATGGGAGCTGATTGGTGCCATTTTGTGGCGAGCCTTAAATGACAAGCTAAGAAGTTTTCATTTTGTTAATTAAGCATTGCAAGCTATTGAAGGTTTTTGAGCAGAGGATCAATTTGACTCAATTTAACAATCATGTATTAACTGCCTACTATATGTAGGGTACTGGGCAGAACATTGGAGAGAGCACTGGGTCAGAAGTCGGGAAGATCTGACAGAATTCAAATCTAACCTCAGACACTTTCTAGCTGTGTGACCCTAGGCAAGTCACTTAACCCTTTTTGCCTCAGTGCCTCATCTGTAAAATGAGCTGGAAAAAGAAATGGCAAACTACTCCAGTGTCTTTGCCAGGAAAACCCCAAATGGGGTCATGAAGAGTCAGACACAACTGAAACGAGTCAACGACAAAAATAGGGTCCTGTGCTAAGCATTAGGAATATGAAGAGAAAAAATGAAATCCCTGCCATCTTCTGGAAGGAACAGTGTGTGTGTGTGTGTGTGAACTGACATCTACACTTAAACTTGGAGACAGAATTTTCTAACCTCTTTAAAAATTTTCCAAAGACTTTCAGTCAGTTTGAATCTATTTGTTACAAATATAAAAGTGCTACACCATCCAGTTAGTTTCCAAGACTATCAGAGAAAATGGAAATTTACTGGCAAATTTTCAACAAAAACATTTTCCTTCCTGGTGGGTAGGATTTAAAAATTAGTACTGAGATTTAGTAAGCATTGCCAACGATGCATTTCCATTCAGATCTACATAACATTTTTCACCAGTCATAGCCAATAAAATGGAAATAAACTGAACTTAAAACTTGTGAATCATTATCACAACATATAATATAGTCCAGATTTTCAAAAATGATAAAGTATATTCAATCACATTGTTCTCAGTCTATCTTCTAGTAATGTCAATGAGAACAGGAAGATTTATCATGATGTTAATAAAATACTCTTAAACAGTTTATTTCATCTTTTGTACCTACCTCCCAGGTTTGATGTGAGGATCAAATAAGATAACAAGCTAAAGCTTTCCAATCCCCAAAATGCCGTCTGAATGGTACTATCTATCTACACTAAAGCTGTCATCTTTATCTTGTTCTTTTGAAGCTTCTATCTGTCTATGGTTTATAATGGACATAATACATCAGCACAGAAATACATACAGATTATTTCTACTGTGAGGCTCAAAAAAACTTGAAAAGAATATAGGATCAGAAACTTGGAGACCACTTCTCTAAAGTGATCTACAGATTTCAAGAGGCAAAAGCAAAGAGGGAGAGCCCTGCAGCCTGTGATGGACACCTTTTCAAATTCCTACTAGACATCTGCTTTCTTTACACTTGAATCTCCAAAAATCAGAGCTCAAGAACAATCCTAGTAAATTCCAGGTGGGTTTTGACTGAGGTTTTATCATACTGTATATAGAATAAACTGTATTGCTTGTTTGCAAGTTTCTTCAATTGTAAGAAGTGATTTGTTTAATTTTATTTGTTCAATTCAATAGCCACTGATTGTCTACTGTTTGCCAGGCACTACAGTAGGCATGAAAGGGGTAGGGATGGAGAATGCAAAATATAAGTAAGATATTGACTATATCATCATGGAATAAGTATGTTTATACTTATTCATTGGCTGTCATGATACAAACTGATGACTTTTTTTCTATACATTTCATAACAAAGGAATCCATGTTATTCTTACTCATAAGATTCAGAGACTGATGACTTAAAGAAAAAATATTTCATTTAGGCTTCCCAGAGAAAGATAGCTCCTTAGGAATTGCCTGTTTAACTGGTAATCTAGTGCAGTGGTGCCATATTCAAATAGAAATGGGGACCACTAATCTGTACATATTAAAAATGTTATGTTATTATGTTTTATTTATCTCATTAAATATTTCCCAATTGTATTTTAATTTAGTTCTGCCCCATTCCAGAGTGTTGTGGGCAATATTTGGGGCCACCTGTGTTTGACATCTCTGTTCTCATACATATTCTTCCTCCCAGCCAGACCCCTTTCCAATGTAAATTCAATAGACTGACATAACTGTGCCCTGGTGGGGAAGGCTTAGAGTAGGGGTGGGAGGCAGGGGAAAGCAACTGCAAAGAAACCTATGAAATGATCAGTGTAAAAGTTCACTTGTACTACCTTTAATTGTTATATAGCTTTTCCTGTTTTTCTGTCTGGTATTACTACCATCACTCCCCCTGCTCCAGCCCCAAATCCCCTGTAGTATGTAATCTCTTTGGAAGACAGAAATTAAGCTTGGTGTCTGGAAACACTTCCTAACAATTAGAGTAACCCAAAATTGGAATGGGCTGCTTTAGACAATAATGGGTTCCCACCTTGTGCAGTGAAGGGATTAATTCTTCAGTTACTGTTTAGATTAGATTGCCCCTGAGGTCCCTTCCAGTGATTCCACTTGTCTCTGGTTGTCTGCACACTAATCAACACACTGTCTTTGACATTACAGGTACTCAGTAAACTCACTGATAGACTGAAGTCAGAGGATCTAGTCAGAGGTGGGGAACTTGAGGCCACACGTGGCCCTCTAGGTCCTCAAATGCAGCCCCAAGGCCGAAGGTTCCCCACCCCTGATCTAGGTTCGGGTCCTGACTCTGATATTTTCTTATGTGTGTGACTTTGGAAAAGTCACTTAATCTTCACTTTCTTAATTTGAAAAATGAAGAGGATGGATTAGATGGTGTCTAAGGGCCTTTCTAGCTCAATCGTTTCACAACTAGTTATCAGAATGCCCTATTGAAGAAGCTTCAGCCTTTTTTGTTCAGATCTTTATAAGGCCGTTAAGGTCCTGATGATTTGAATTCTTTTGTCAAATCCTCCCCATCAGTAGACTTTAGCAGGAGTTCAGACCTGGTGTCAGCCCTCCCACTCTACAAACTTAGCTGGCAAGCTGAGCTAGTGTGGTGACCGCAGCTGGGATCCTCCTGGCAGCTGTCTCCCTGCTGCCTCTGGACTTCATGCCTATTAAGGTAAGGATTCTTCTTTGGAAAAAAAAAAAAGGAGGGTAAGGATGGGAGGGGGGAATCCTGCTCCTCCCAGCACATTCTCCCTAGAGAAATTGTTCTTTGTGGGATGAGACATGAGTCTCTCTTCTTGAAGGAGGAGGGGAAGGGAAAGTGAACTACCAGCACGTTATGCCCCATGGAAACTACTGAGTGTCTTGGCATCCTGGAGCTATTCCCAGCCTGCTTTAGAGAGCTTTCTTTAGAGTGCCAGAACTAGGGCTGCTTCTTGAACTGGGCACTCCATATCATCTTTTCATAAATTGTCTCCTGTGCCTGGAATGCACTCCCTCCTCACCCCCATCTCCCAGAATCCCTAGCTCCCTTCAAGGCTCAGCTCCTCTGCTCTCTCCTACAGAAAAACTTTCATGATCCTCCTTCATTGTTGATGTACCCTCTCACCTTTCTCAAATTATCACATATGTGAGACAGCTGGGTGTTGAAGTGGAAAGAGTGCTAGAACCACAATCAGGAAAACATGAATTCAGAAGCTTACTGCTGTGTGACCCTGGAAAAGTCATTTTACCTCTGCTTCAATTTCCTCATCTGTAGTGGGGACAGTAATACACCTACCTCTCAGTAGTTGTGAGGATAAAATGAGATCATATTTGTAAAGTGATTGGCAAACCTTCAAGCTCTATATAAATGCTAAATATATATATATATATATGTGTGTGTATATATATATATATATATGTATGTGTGTATATATATATATATATATATATATATATATACATGCATATATATGCTTACAGTATTCACCCAATAGAATATAAGTTCCCTGAGGTCAGGGATGTTTTTTCATTTTTACCCCAGCCTCGAGCACACTGCCATACCCAACTCCACCAGTTCCTGGGACGTCCTCCCCAAAATCACATTGTACTTTCTTTGTATGAATGTCTTACGTATGCAGTTTGGCCTCAAAACCCTGAAGATGGTTCAGATCCCAGCTTTGACACAATACTTGCTTTCTGACCCCTAGGCAAGGATCTGAACCTCTCATTCTTCCTGAAACTTTCTGTAAGACTAAGCTGCAGATAAAGTACTGACCTGCCTTCATAGAGGAAATTTCTTCACCTAGGATTGCCATACACCAATGAAATCATAGGTCTTGTCCATAGATATGGACATAGATATTCATTTTGTGTGTATACGTGGTATTTACTTCCAAAAGAATGTAAGCTCTTTGAAGGAAGGGGATTTCATTTTTGACTTTGTATCCCCAGTACCTGGCCTAGAGCAGGTACCTAATAAATGCTTGTTAAATCGACTATCCTCTTCTACCTGAAACCACCTTCCCCCGGGTATTGTCAAGCCCTGCGGATGTGGTCAATTTCTCATACAGATTAATGAGGCTAACAGTTCTAGATCAAAAGAGTGCCCCTGGAGGCTTTTTCTTACCAAAAGCTCCTTTTATCATTGACGGGGTGTCCAAGGAAGCACTTTATACAGCGCGGGTATGGAAAGAGATAGTCCCTCACTACAAACACGGAGGGAGCGTAACACTTGCTAATTCTGGCCCCCAAACCATTCCTAGAGCTCTCCTCTCTCCATCACTCTCCTACGCCCTCTTGTTCCCGCTCCTCTCTCTCCAAACCCCTCTCCCATTCCCCCCTCCGACCTCTCCTTTCCCTCCCTCTACATGCACAGCGCCCCCTTCCCCATCCCTCGCCTCCCCGACGCCCCGCCCTCCCGTGGCCCCGCCCCCTCCCCGCAGGGCTCCAGCTGAGCTCGGAGCCCGGCCTGGGGACTCGGGATCCCGCTGCTGCCGGGGCCGCAGGATGGGGCGCGTCCTCGGGGGCCTGCGCTGCATCAAGTACATGCTGCTTGCCTTCAACCTGCTTTTCTGGGTAAGCCCCAAGCGCGGAGCGGGGTGGGCGCTCCCAGGTCAAAAGGAGCAGGACGAATGAGGGGGGCTCCCCAGGGAGGAAGGGAGCAAAGGAGGGACTGCAGTTGCTGAGTCCGGGTCCGGGCGGGCTTGGGACCGAGAGTGACAGTGAGAGGGGGGCGGAGGTGGGGGGGAAGGGGCGTGTGCATGTATATGTGTGTGCATGTATGTATGTGTGTGCATGTATGTGTGTATGCGCGAACCTAAAGGGGAAATGAGACAGAGACACAAAGAGAAGACGGAGAGAACCAGAGGGAAAGGGATGGAGAGGCATAAAGGAAAAAACAAACGGGGTAGGCAGAAACGTTGGGGAACGGAGGGAGAGTAATTTTAAACTGAGGTTTCATTCTGGGGCAGGGATTCCTTCCAACCTCTATCTAAACGCTTCCCTATCCCTCCTCAGTCCTCCAGGCAGTTCTGGCTGAATGGGGCACCACCTGCTTCTCTTCACCTGGTGTGGGTTTTCTACCTTCACCAGCCCCGCCTCCCCTCCCACCCTCTAATCAGCTTGTCCGTCTGTTTCTTCTTGCCAGCCTTCCCTCCCCTCAGGAGCCAGGGTCTGATCAAGAGGCCAGGAGGGTCCTGGCAGGTGCAGAGTGCCCCTTTAAGGGACAACATAAAAACAGAGCCAAATCTGGAGAGAAATTTCTTGGGGGTTTTTTTTGGTGGGGGGGGCGGGGTGCAGTGCAGGGGGATATTGGTTTACCGGAGACCCGGGTCCAAAGGAGGGAGGAGGAAGTGCTGGCTGGGGACCAGCGGTTTGTGTAAGGGGGTTTTCCCAAGGTAAACAGTCTTGTCCCAGCAGCCAACCAGGTCTCAAAATCCTCCAATGTACCCAGCACCTTTTGATTCTCAGAGATGATCTCATCCAACTCTGAAGGAGTTTATTGCATTGACGATAGAAGGAACGAGAACCAAATATGGTTCCCACTTCATAGGTGGAGGCACTGGGTCTCTGGCAGAGGGTCATGATGCCTTGGGTATTTCGGATTCTTGTAGGCATGACCCTTCCTAGGTCTCTCGTTGCCCCATCCTATGTCTACCTCTTGAAGGAATCAAAATAGGGTCTAAATGTTTTCTCTCTGTCTCTTAGCAAATCTTTTTAGGGTTATCACAAGATGTAAACTTCCGTTGGGTAGGGGGACTACTCCAAAAAATGACAGGCTGTCTAGTGGGGGTGAGGGCTATTTTTGTTTTGTTTTTCTGAGAGGCAGCAATGATATAGAAAAAAGAATTATGGGTCCAGAATTAGGAGGTTGGGGTTTGGATTCTGGTTCTGATACTTCCTAGCTATGTGTAATGCTGACATTTTAAGCCTCAGTTTCCTCACATATAAAATGGAGATAATAATATCTGTCCGACGTCCTTGACAAGATTGTTGGAAAGAAAGTGTCTTATAAACACTAAAGTACTAAATAATTTAAGATATTCTTCTGAGATAGGAATGGGGTAGCTGTGACCTGAGCCATGAAACTGCCCAGTCTTCCAGGAAGGTATGGAGGAAAAGTATTCTTTCTGGTTTGAGGAAGCTTTTTAGTTTTAGAAAGAACTTCTTCCAATTGTGACATTACTAAACCGGCCCCTGGCAGTGGGGCAGTCTTCACTTGCATCTTCTGCCAATGCAGAGTAATTCCCAGAAGACCACATTGTCTCTCGGCTCAAACTGCCCTCAGCAGGAGTCTCCAGCAGCAGCAGAGGCTTGGGAGGAGAAGCATATAACCTGGCTGAAAAGTCCTAAAATGTCAAACCCATGATTTCTGCCAGCTGAGGTGTTTTCACTGAGTTTATCTTAGGAATAAATGCTTCTCAGGACACAAAATTCCAGATTTTTAAAATTTCCTTGTGAAATGTGTTGTCATTTAATTATCCACATGCAAATTATCCACTCTAGATTGCCTGCTATACGTTTTTAATCCCAATTGCAAACCTTTTCTGGACTATCTTTCCCCTTCTTTTCATAGAGACAAATTAATTTTAAAATCTGCCTGAAGAGAGTATAATTAGGAAGGTAAATCTGCTGCAAAAAGATTTATTAATTTGTATTTACAGGGTACAAATTATATGTCTAGAACTGGTCTTCAATCTAGCAGGGGCATTTGGTTTTTTCGTCCTGACCTATGATTCAATCACTGTGGAGAACAGCTGTGCTCTGATGTAGAAATAAAGAAGTAAATAAAGTCTCTTTAAGTGAGACTTAGACAGTTATATGGGAGCACTGATAGCTTAGGTGATTTGCCCATTGTCACACAGTTTATATGTCTGAGGCCTGACTTGAACCTAAGGCTAGGAACTTCCAGGCCTGTCCTATAGTTACCCCACCAGAATACCTCAAAGGCATGTAAGAGAAGAATAAAAAGACAGTTCTTGCCTTTAAGGATTTTGTGATTCTTTTGTTAAAAAAAAAAAAGATCATGTGACAAAAACATCAAAACTAATAACATCACATAGTTTATTAATCAATAGAAAATTGTGTGGTATTGATTTACCTGTTAAGGATTAGACAAGGAGAGGTCTTGCACCGTCAGAATGTAGACTCATAGCATGTTGGATTTAAAAGTGTTCTGGAGGCAGTGTATTGGGATAGAAATGGAGTCCCAGGATCTGAGTTCAAATTCCGAACTCTCTCCTTCCTTTCTGGGCAAGGTACTTTATCTATCTGGGTCTGTCTCCTCCAGCATGGTTAGAGGTTGGACTAAGGTGCCATCCAATTCCAGATCTGCATCCTATGATCCTCCTTCAAATTTCTAGACTTTGGTTTGAATCTTGACTCTGGCCTGATCCTACTTTCACTATGTTTATTACTTGTCTAAATACATGTCTTATCCCCACCTATTGAATGAGAAGCTTCTTGAGGATTGGGACTATTGTTTTTCATCTCTGAATCCCCAACAGTGCTTTGCACATTTGGGGAGAGGGTCAAATTTGTAATTTTATACATGTAGAGAATTCCAAAGTGCAAAAATTCCCTCTAAAAATGAAGATCAAAAACTCTTCATTTATCTTGTAGAGTTGTGCTGGGTATGGAGAAGTTAAATGGTACCTGTGGTCCCATAGCTAGAATGTGCCTGAGGCAATAAATCAACATTTATTAAGCACCCACTATGTGTTAGATACTGTGCTAAGCAGTAGGGATACAAAAAGAGGCAAAAGATAGTCCCTCCCCTCAAGGAGCTCACAATCTAACAGAGGAGATAACAAGCAAATATTTACAAACAAGCTATGTACAAGATGGCATGTCTGACTCTTCATGATCCCATTTGGGGTTTTCTTGGCAAAGATATTGGGGTCGTTTGCCATTTCCTTCTCTAGCTCATTTGCTGAGGAACTGAGGTTAAGGGTTAAGTGACTTGCCCAGGGTCACACAGCTTGTAAGTATCTGAAACTGAATTTGAACTCATGAACAAGAGCCTTCCAGATTCTGAGCCTAATGCTCTAGCTGCTGCCCCACCCAGCTGCCCATGTAAGATAAGTAGGAAATAATTAACTGAGAGAAGGCACTAGAATTAAGAGGGGTTGGGAAAGAGTTTCTGGAGATGATTGGATTTTAGTTGAGACTGAAAGGAAGCCAGGGAATTCAGTAGGTGGAAATGAGGAAGGAGAACATTCCAGGAATGGGAGACAGCCAGCGAAAATGTCTGGAGCTGAGAGATGGAGTGTCTTGTTCATGGCACACAGAGGAGGCCAGTGCCATGGAACAGAAGAATACGTAGTAGGGAGTCCGCTGTGGCATGCTGTCTTATACATAGCATGGGCCTAATCAATGTTTGTTGGATTGTTGAATCTAGGCCAATCTCCTAACTTGACATGAAAAAAAGAAAGCCCAGAAGGGGGAAAGAAGTGACTTTTCAAAGATAAGAACAGTTAGTGAGTGAGGTTTCCTGACTTCCCTTTCAATGTGTTTTCAAAGTAGTCAGAAAAGGTTTCATGGAAGAATTTTTATTGTTAATAATAATAATTCAAAAAATAGCATTTATATACCATTTTAAGGTTCACAAAATGCTTTACAAATATTTTATCCTTGGAATAACCCTGGAAGGTAAGTGCTATTATCATCCCCATTTTACAGATGAGGAAACCAAGGTAAACAGAGGCCCAGGATCAGTGTCTGAGACTGGATTTGAATGCAGGTCTTCCTGACTCCAAGTCCAATATGTGGCCCTTTGAAAGATCAGTAGGAACTGGATAAAGGACAGCAAAGGACATTGCCAGGTGGGAGGGGAGAAAGAGAAGAGAACATGATAGAGCAAAACCACAAAAGGGAGAATAAATGTAGCATGCCTTTTGACAGGAAGACTGGTTAATGATGTGAATTAACTGCATCTTGGGAAAAAATCTGTACTCTGCCCCTTAGCTAGTGAACCTGACTTGGTCTGCCTTGTTCTACATACAGTATTTTAATGGCTCTGTGATCTCAATATGGAAACTCCCTCCAAAAGTGCAGATCTCAATCCATTCAAGATTCTCTTTGTCCTTTATCCCTCTGTCTTACTGTCTTTATATTCTGCTTTTTGCCTCTTGGTTCATTTTTAATTTTCAGATATTCAATTCAATTTAGCAAGTACTTATTAGGTGCCTTTATTAAAATTTATTACATAGTTTGATCCTAGAAGAGAAATCAGGGTCCCTGTTCCCCGCCAGCCTGGCCCAGACTAGCAAAATAACACATTCTGGTAAAGAGGACAGATGATTTGGCAAGGAGCTCTTACTTGGGACAAATTACCTAAATAATTGCTTCCATTTTGTGTGGGAGACCAAAATCCAGAGAAATCCTGACCTACTTCGTCTAGTGGCTGTTTCCTGAATGATGGGATTGGGGGGATAGGATGCTGTTGGGAGAAGGGCCGAAGAACTGTTTTCCTGAAAACTGAGAAGGTGGCTGTCCTTCACCATCTTTTATTTCCATCTCTACTTAGGTGCCCCTGAGCTCTCCGGGCTCTCCAGGGTAGCACTTCCTCTTCCTTT